AATATTTAGTCTTTTACTTTTTTCCACAGCAGTTTGCATTTTTATGGCAAGAAATGTGTACTTTGATTAAGATACCATACTAAAGCTCCAGCATAAAATATGAAGTTACCACCATGGCATAACATATTTTTATGAATATTAGCACTAACACCGAATAAGCACTTGAATAAATATTCAGAAATTTACAAGCTGTAAAATTAGATAGCTGACAATAAGAACTGAAAAGGGAAAAATGTCTTGTATTGTCTTCATTAATATTATTATATAGAAGCAGCTTACTGCTTAATGCTGGCCTCTAGCTTACATGCCACGAAACCCTCCTGCAAAGTCCAGGCCAAGTTTCACATAGTTCCTAAAGGCTAATTAAAAAATCCTGGCTCAGTGAGATGCCAGCATGCATGGTAGATTGCAGGATTAATCCATGTTGGTCGTTGTCTTTCTGTGAAAGAATTAAAGAATGGAATCTTTATTAGACACAATCTTAAGAAAGTTTGTTCAGAAATAAAATATTCCCTGATAAGCAGATGTTAGACCTTATGTAAAATTAAGAAAATATCCTGGGACCATGCCTTTAAATATAATATCAGTCCTAAATTACAGAAAACTGTTTTCTAAAAGACAGAAAGTTGGTATATGATACATAAAGAGTGGCTGTGGGTATTTGGGCTGCCCAGATCTTTGAATCTTTAACCTTGAATTGTATGGCATTTACAGCCTGAGAAGCTAGTGTCTCTCTGAGCCGCTTTCTCTGCCCATTATGCAATTGCAGTCTGTATTCTCACTTATCTGAGGGTAGTAGTAGGCAGTATCTCTGCCTTCTCCCCTCTTCTCTGCCTCCCCTCCCATGTGTCCCAAGATCATTTCCACATAGCATTACAATGGTAGGGAGTCTGGTTACTTGAGGAAATGTCTGTGTCCCATAGTATCTACGCAGCTGATGCAGTGTGAAAGGACTGGTATTCTCTTAGTTCCGTTGATTAAACAATGCCAGGTGTCAGAACTCTAGAGACTTTCTATACACCCTCTGGAATGAGGTTCCCCTGAGATCTGAGTGGATTTCAGAGGACCCTGAAGTTCTTTGTCTAGAACTTTGGCCAGAGTGATTGAAAGCCCTTTTATATTGTGTAATGTTTATTTTTATTTTCTAAGTATGCATCTGACTTTGTTATTTTTGCCATCTTTACTCTCTTTTTTGTTGTTGTTTTTAACTTTTAAAAAATTTACAAACTGCCCAGAATCACTGGGAATTAAACAGCATGTAAATGTAATAAGTTATTATTATTTTATTACATATATCAAGGCTTTAAAAAAGAAATTGCATTATTCTATTACTGTAATGTATATTTAAGTAGAAAAAGATAATAGTTCTGGGCTTTTGTTCCTTTCTGTCTGCCACATTTTTGCCCACCAGTAAGTTTTGTACACCAATTGATTATGTCCACTTATTTCATTTGTCTCGCGGTCTCTTTCCCACCAAATGGATTAGGGTTATTGATCATTGTTTGATAGTTACCTCTGTAAATTTATGTACCCGTGCCATAATCACAACAAGACTATTGCACAAATCAATTGCATCCTTGGTAAGCAAACATTTTTTTGGCCATGATATTTTAAAATTAATGCCAGGCAAAAAAGGCACATGAGGTTCATTTTTTTCTCAGATTATAATATAATCAGGCTTAAGGTTTAGACAATAGATAAGGTACCATTATTTTACATTTCTTGCATGGTTTATCAAGTAGAAATACTAATTATAAAAACTTTATATTGAATAAACATCATTGAGCAATCTCTCTATATTGTGCATGTACAACATTCAGGCTTATTGCTTTGTCAATAATTAAAGGTCTATATGGAGCTGCTAAAAGAAATATAGTCTGTAAAGAGTTGGGGAATATTTTTGAAAGAAACAATTAAGCACAGAATCATTGTAACACAGACCTAACTGCTGTATTTTAGGGTATGATAGCCAGATTTTAAAACAATAGCTATTGTATACAGGTAGTCCTCGACTTACGACCACAACTGAGCCCAAAATTTCTGTTGCTAAGTGAAATAATTGTTAAGTGAGTTTTGCCCCATTTTCGACTTTTCTTGCCTCAGTGGTTAAGTGAATCTGTTTCCCTGTTGTCAGTTCTCAAAAGTTGATCACATGATCCCAGGACTCATAAATATGAGTCAAGCATTTGACTTTTGATCATGTGACCATGGAGAGGCTGCAACAGTTGTGTGAAAAATGGTCATAAGTCACTTTTTTCAGTGCCAGTGTAACTTTGAACCGTCATTAAACAAACTGTTATAAATTGAGGACTACCTGTACTTGGTCTTCAAAAGAAACTACTTTTATTAGTCATATCTTTGTTTCAGATTGTATAAATCTTTTTGTGTTTTATTTTTGTTAATCTATTTCTTTGAGTAAACTGGAACAGTACAATACTAGGATTGGTTGCTACAGTTGAAGTTTAAAAGCTGATGTAAAAAATGCACACAATAAGCACAAAGACAGAGACGCTGCCTCTGAAAGCTTCATATTACTGAAACCTTTCAGGAAATAATGCAGAATTATGGAAGACACTCAGTCTATATTGTTAAATATGCATGAAGGCAGCACGGTGATAATGTAGCTAAATATAATATTGCAGGGCCACCAGCAGTTGGAAGTTTTTGAAAAACATGCAGTTCAATTAATGCATTTCCACAGTGATTTTATTTCCACTAGACAAAGATGCAGACATCTGCAAAATAATGTCTGTGTGCTTACATGTGGTGGGCTCAGTAAAATAGTTTCATTCCTTAGTTTATTTTCTGTTTCTTATACTGACAGCTACATCAATTCAGTTAAAACTGTCAGCCTTTGAAAAAATAGACAACATTGCAAAGAGTGACATATTTTGTGCTGTTACGATTGCCTTTCTTGCAGTAGTCAGTGATATGACCAAAACAAGGAAGGTTTGTCTGAAGGATGTGCACTAGATATCATAATTCCCCCAGCATAGAATCAGGCTAGCCTGAGAATTCAAGACAACGGAAAGAGTAGAGAAAGAGAATAAAATGAAGGTTGTATGTTTGCTAGGACTGAAGACACATATAAATTAACTGTGTGTGTGTGTGTGTGTGTGTGTGTGTGTGTGTGTGTGTGTGTGTGTGTGTAATTTAAAGATCATTCAAAGTTATGATAAAGTTAATTTTTAAAAACCTTCACAACCAATTCTTCCACTTACTACTATCATAGAATCCAATGGTAACGTGATTGCTATTCTTGTGCTTCACAGTTGGCTTCCAACAAGGCAGAGCACAGAACAAAGGTGGTATTCAGCAGGTTCTGACCAGTTCTGGAGAACCCGTAGCAGAAATTTTGAGTAGTTCAAAGAAGCAGCCAAAACCACCCCTGACTGGAGATTTTACAGTATCCTTCCCCTGCCATGCTCACAGAACCAGTAGTAAAAAAAAATTGAATCCCACCACTGGCACAGAAGTAAAATAATAAGTTGTGAACCTGTAATGCCTTAATGACCACGATGACTTGCTTAAAAACTGTTTGAGAAGTGATATTGTATGTCCATTGCCTCATGATTTTTCACTTATCACAGGGCTTAGCAATGGATTTGCCAGTCCCAACTGTGGTTGCTAAGTGAGATCTATACAATATGTCAGACATGGGTGTCTAAGCCAAACTTAACAACCCACTATATGACTTATCAGAATGTTTGCTCCCAGTGGTATGGAAGAATTTCAAAGTTTATGGGTTCTACGATATATATCAATGTATATCACTAATAAAACATTACACATTAGGTATGTGTTGCTATAGGAGATGATCTGACCAAAAGAAGGGACAAATGTGTCATCAGTTTGAGTCCCTTCACATCCACAAGAAATCAATGTCCAGCCCACCTTGAATTCTGTTGATTCTTACCTGCCACCAATTTGCTTTGACCATTAGTAGTGAGAATACAGTTTTATTGTATGCTAATGTCCTCTACAACAATCTTTAGAGAGAGCACTAGCATGCAATAAATCTGTATTCATTTGAACTGCCTGGACTCTTGTTTTTCTGCACTTAACAATTGAACAGCAATAGGGAAAGACTTATTTGAGGCAAATCTCCAGGTGCATCAGGTGTTCAATTGTACATAATTCATTACAAAAGCAATGTCACTGTTTCATATCAGTGAACTTGTGGCAGTTCCTCAAAAAGACAGATAACAGAATCCAGGCATGGTATTTTCTGGAACAGGGATGTGAAGAAAGTCATTCCTATTGCTATGATAATGAATAATCAAATGCAGATCCTTCATACTATATGACTTACTAATATCTTCATTTAGTAAGAAGAAACTTCATTCTAGGATGACTTTAAAGAGCTAGCCTCTGCTGGTGGAGAGCATTTTTCCCTCTTAACTAAAGGATGCCCTTTTGCAGTAGTAGTAATAAATTATTTATTCATGACTTTATGTATTGTCCCATTCTTGTGTAATTTTGTATGTAGATTGCTTTGAGGTCTTGACATTTCTTGGCTGAGGGCCCAGTTGCAGATATCTAATAATTTTGTCTCCTTGTAAGACTGAGAAACCTTTTCCGTAAGAATGGGCAGGAAAAGTGATAAATGGATACAGCTCTATAATAATTAAGCTAATTTCCATAATGGCTTTGCTACTTTGAAGTGATTTCCAAAAGAATTCCAAGGCTTTAAACAGTAAAGGGAAAAGTTACATTTCCAAGGGTTTTGTAATTTTTAAAATAAATATATTCCTATTGTTATTGTTATTTGTAGCATCTTGTTGGAAGATCTGAAATAATCTTATTCCCTGAGATTCTCACCCATTTTTCTTTAAAACACGTAAATATGCAAATAGTAACTAATAGGCCTTCTGTGTAAATATTTTATAGTATGTTAAAAGCTGCTTCAGAATGTTCTATTAACATTCAACATTTTTTTTCTTTCTTGTCCCTGTGCAGCAACAATATAGTACAATGATTGAGGATTTCAGCTGAAAATTATGCCCAGCCTTGAAAATGAAATTGTCAGTGTTTTCTTTGTTTCAGATGACAGTCCATATACTAAATCTGCAAGCCAGTCAAAGCCACCCGATGGAGCACTAGCTATAAGAAGACAGAGCATTCCAGGTATACCACTATATACTACTAAAATTAGCATGTCTGTTTGATTTTTTGTAACTTTCAAATAGGTGAAATGGTGTATTCCGGAGCAACAATTTTGGCATCAATGCACCTCAAATGAGCTAACTTAAAAAATTAGTCCAAAATCTGCAACTCATGACACCTGGAGGATTGAAATTTGGTAAAGTTGTGCTGCTTCAATGCTGCTGTGCCACTACAGTCAGCCATGGTTATATGATTATCATTTCTAATACCTCCTGCCAGCTTTTTACAAGAAAAGTCAGTGGGGAAACCAAGGGGCATTTTATCTCTATTATTTTTTTTACCCAAATTAGTGTTTGCCATTTGAACTGATCTTTTGAAAAGTAAGGTTCCTATCTGAAGTTTAAAGATGGGGTTCTTATTAAATGAGTTTTAAGTAGTGATAAGGTTGTAATTATATTTTTTGTACTGAATTTCATAGTTAGCTGCTTTGATTCATGTTTGTGTGTGTGTGTAAAACTAGGTTTCAGATATATAAAAGGCAGGCAAACTTTTCTGGACTTAAAATAACCAGGATCATAGGAACATTTACATTAAAGAAAAATTAATACATGGAGAATTTTAGTTGATTAAAATCCAGTGAAAATAGATTCAAGAGAATAAAAAACTAGTGAAAACAGAGGATAAAGCTTCCACATTATTCAATTGCATTGGTTTTAATCACATATATCTTTTGGTTTCACACACACACACACACACACACACACACACACACACACACACACAGAAAGTTTATGAATGTTACAGACCTATAAAAATCAATGAAAATAATGGAACCTGAAAGCACCATCAAATTTAATTGATGGACATGAAGTGTAAAAGCAAGACAGGCATGTAATTTAATTGTGGATTTAACAGATAACAGATAATAGAGTTGGAAGGGACCTTGTAGGTCCTCTAGTCCAACCCCCTGCCAAGCAGGAGACCCTACACCATTTCTGACAAATGTCAGTCCAATCTCTTCTTGAAAGTCTCAAGTGATGACCCTCCCACAACTCCTGGGGGCAAGCTATTCCATATATAATTAAACTTTCCCACATTTTACATTTCTCACTGCTGCAGGAGAGCAAAAATCTGCAATCCTCCTTGCCCAATATTTTGCTCATTCTCATTTTTTGTACTCTGTTAATTGTACTTCTGCCAAACACTTTTCTAGCCATACTTATGAAATTCTTTTTTACTTATTATATGCATTCTTGCTAACATTTCCTTTGAATAATAGAACAATAACAACATTTGTTGCATTGCATATTCAACTAGTTAGATAAGTTGCGCAAGGTATTTCATAAGCAAACTACATGTATATTTATGTGATTACTCTCTCTTCTTTTTTTAAAACAAATTTTATTCAGTTTTTCACATTAAAAACAAAAATCTCTTTTTAGTTGACAACATATTTCTGGGTCATCACCTTTACATACAAATATGACAGCAATTATACATTCATATATGCATACTTAATTCTATTATTACCTTTTCCATTCCAAATTTTCAGCAAGGAGAGAAACGAACACATTAATTCTAGCCTCTTTCATTAATCTCAATCAAAACATCTTTTTGTTTCATTTCAATTAGTTCAAATATAATCCTTTAATATTTATTTTAAAAATAAAGATAAACAATATGTGTTTGCGTAATAATAATTTAAAAAGTTACCAATGTCTCTCCTTACTTTTAATAGTCTATATTAACTTATTAATTTAATTGGTTCTTTCATCTGTCATATTCCCTTTCCATTACACATTCTTTTTATAAATTCTAGATTAATACAAATTTTAACACTAAAAAAAAAAACAAGTGTAGGTTTCCCCCCTTTTACTGTTTTGAGTATGACACCTCAATGATTAAAATATACCTTTATTCCCTCATCTTGATTCCCAATAAACCATTATTTTTAAGAAGTTACAATAATCATTACAACGTTTCATTTAGATTCCGCAGAATATTTTCCCCACTTGATTTTTAATAAGAGTTATAAGTATCTATATTACCCTATTTTTTAAATATTTTAATTGCAGAAATATTATTACCCCTTGTCACCCTGCAGAATCCCCTTTTTAATTCATCAACCATTATCTCTGCAAAAACAATCTTTCAATATTTTACTATTTCCGTATTTCTTTATTTCGTGCACCTGTTTCTTACTGCTTCTCCTCCCCCACTTTTCCCCATATCTTTTCTCATTCCAGTTTATATCCCTCTCTTTCTTAATATCTTCCTTTTCCCTTTTCTGCTGGGTCTTTCTGTCTTTCCTGACTTCACAGGTATTCCCCCTTTTGATTGCCTTCTTAAATTTCAACTTTTTAACCTTCCTTCTTTCCCCACTTCTTTGTAGTTTTCTTTGTGTTAATTGTCTATTTAAAATGTCTTCTTGAATCGATGACTCCTCCTCTGAAGCTCTTTCTTCTTGTTCTTCAATCGCCATTTCCATTTTTTCTAACACAGAACAAAGTGATTTGCCTCTTTCCTGTCATAATTCTCTCATATTTTTAAGTTCCATTTTTAATTCGTGAAGAGATATCATCCTTACACACTCTTATATTTTATGATCGTTAAAGTTTGAGCTCAAGTTTTTGTCAAAAGGTGGCACTCTCCATTATACAAAGTCTTCACCTTTTCCCCCTATTTTTTTATTAAGGGTTTTTCGAACATCAATATTCCAGCACAATCCAGTCTCCAATTTGTAAACTTTATTATTATTATTTTTTGACAATCTTAAGTCCAGCTTTATTTTATGCCTTTTTATTCCCAAAATATTTTAGTCCAATTTAGTTAAATCTTTAGTTCCAGCTTCTTCCTTTCCCAGTTCGAAGCCCTGCTTAGCTTTCAAAAATATTTTCTTTTTTTCCCCTGTCCCTTTGTAATTTCACCCCTCACTTTTCTTTTCTTAAAAATTCCATGTTACCTTAATCCAGGGTACTTTTGTCTAGTTGTATTGCCCAGTTGTCCCGGTTCAGATGTTATCCACCTCTTTCTTCCCTCCTGCACAAGTCTTAATCCATCTGAGTCCTCCTCTTCGGGGTGGCCATTTCAAACCACCGCTGCAGTTGTCTTCAGGGGAAAAAAGACCAAGCCCAGGTGGGGAGATGCGACTCCCCTCAACCTGGCTTGCGGCTTCCCCTTACTCCGCCACCCCTCCAAGGAAGCTTTAGCCCCTAATCATAATAATCAGGGCTTTCCAACAAAAGATCAGAGACCATAGCCACGGACAGTCATGGTCTACAGTCTGTCAGTGAGAAGGGCTCAACCTGGAAGCTTTTGTGATACATGTCTTGATCCATCTGTCTATGGTAGATGGTGAAACCCTTTGTCCCAACGAACTCAGTCTAAATGAAACAAACAATTTTTCTAATGGGCCTTGTTCTCTTAATATAAATGCGTCTAGCTCTCCTAACATCCAAGGAGTGCCACTTCCTTTCTAGGCTATGGACTGGTTCTGGGCAGAAGTCTGGTAGTACTAACTCTTATGCCCTATGGAACGTAGAATTGATCTTTGGGATTATAGGTCGGGTCTAATCTTAATACTACCCTATTCGGGTGAACTATATAGAGGTCCTCCCTCATGGATAATGCTGCCAACTCTGAAATTCTTCTGGCATAAAATAAAGCTGGACTTAAGATTGTCAAAAAATAATAATAATAAAATTTACAAATTGGAGATTGGATTGTGCTAGAATATTGAGGTTCAATATTCTAAATAAAAAAAATAGGGGGAAAAGGTGAGGACTTTGTATAACGGAGAGTGCCATCTTCTGACAAAAACTTGAACTCAAACAAAAGGGAAAGCATCCTGTTTCTGTATGAACTGGTGTTGATATAATGTTAAAGAAATATTGAAACAAAGTAAGAATCTTAGAAGGTGAAAGCTGAACCAGAATAAAGAAAGAAGCAAGGAAAGACTGACTGTGGGATTGACGTTTTTGGTATAGACCCTGGGCTGGAACAACTGAGAATTTTAGAAAACTGGAAGAAGAAAGAAGGAAAATAAAAGTGTTTTTTGTGGACTTCAACAATTATAAAATATAAGAATGTGTAATTGATGATATATCTTCGCGGATTAAAAATGGAACTTAAAAATATGAGAGAACCACCTCAGGAAAGAGGGGAATCACTTTGCTCTGTGCTAGAAGAAATGGAAATGGCGATTGAAGAACAAGAAGAAAGAACTTTAGAGGAGGAGGAGTCGATTCAAGGAGAAGCCATCTTAAATAGACAATTAACACAAAGAACACTACAAAGACTTGGGGAAAGAAGGAAGGCTAAAAAGTTGAGATTTAAGAAGGTAATCAAAAAAGGGAATACCTGTGAAATTAGGAGAGATAGAAAGATCCAGCAGAAAAGAGGAAAGATATCAAGAAAGAGAGGGATATAAACTGGAATGAGAAAAAATATGGGGAAAAGAGGGGGAGGACAGGCAGTAAGAAACAGGTGCATGAAACAAAGAACTACGGAAATAGTAAAATGATGAAAAGAAATTGTTTTTTCAGAGATAATACTTGATGAATTAAAAAGGGGATTCTGCAGGGTGACAAGGCGGAACAAGAATATATTTGCAATTTTAAAAAAATACTTAGAAAATATGGTAATATAGATTATTAAAGTAGGGATAGATACTGATAACTCTTATTAGATGAAAATATATCTTTATTTTTATTCTCAAAAGAAAAATTAAGGCTTATTGAAGAAATTGAAATGGATGTGAAGATGTTTAAAAATGAGGTTAATATCAGTGACTAGAAATTGAATAGTCATTTTTTTCCCTTTACTTCTTTTGAAATTAGAAATAAAATTAAGAGGGGAAAATATGTTGCGGAATCCAAATGAAAAGTTGTAATGATTATTGTAACTACTTAAAAATAATGGTTTATTGGGAATTAAGATGAGGGAATAAAGGTATATTTTAACCACTGAGGTGTCACACTCAAAACAGTAAAAGGGGGAAAACCTATACTTTTTTTCTTTTG